GGAGTTGTACAGTACCTTGGGATAGTGGTCATGGGTTATTATACCAACATCCTCAAATATAAATCTATACAGTATTTTGCCTGAATTGATACACAAAAAAATTGCTATATACTCATATGATTCAATTTCACATTGCTTCAGGTTAAAACAAGTCACACTTTCATGTGTTCGAATACAATTCCCATGGCTGTAGTTGTTACAGTACATTTATGCATAGCCTAAATCACTCCTGTGCATAAAGATTTATTGAAAATAAGGGTATTGGAGATAAATAATAAAACACCTTATTTCCTTTATTTTTTTTTTTTTAGAGCACGTAAATAATAAAACACCTTATTTCCTTTATTTTAGAGCACACAGATTTTCACACTCCAACACATTAAAAAAAAAATCATATTGCCATTCATTCTCCATAAAAATTACCTTTCTAATACAGTTAAAAGAAATCAAAAGGACTACTGAAAACGGATTCTGATGAATTATTACATAGAAATTCTTCTCTAGACAACTGTGGTAATGTATGGGAAAATCTGTCTGTATAGAAGGTTGTTAAAGGAAAGGGAAAATCATCCTTACAATGAGTTGCACAGAAGTCATTGATTTCTTCAATCTGCCATTAAGTTTCAAAAAAAGTTTACCATGTAAGTGGGAAAGGACAACGTGACATTTATTTCTAGCATTTCTGAATGTGTTTTGCTTATTTTTAACACTATGCTATAAGCACAAGTCCAAACATGGCATGCAGTCTAATTTAGTCAGTATGGGCATGCACCGTAAGTCAGACTTTGGTCAGTCCTGCATGAATTCCTGAAATGACAGTATAAGGAGAATCTTTCCTTTGTTAATATATTCAAACACCATAATTCATAACAAAAAAATGTATGCAAATGAGTGCATGTGTCAGGTGCCAGGATCAGCTGAAGGAAAGGACTGACTGTGCTCTTTTGTTACCACCAGATCAAAATAGAAGTAGACAAGGCAAAGAAAAGACATACCATAAGACACAGGATATGAACTCTACCAGTGATCCAGAAAGTGCTGTCATTATCTCAACACAGCAGCAGGGAAGAACATTAGGACTTATAGCTGATACGGAACTAATCTCTACCCTGTAACTCTGAATGAAGCTGGAAATTTTAAGGAGCCTTTGACCATTGTGTTAATGAGAGATGCTAAAGCAGTGAGCCAGTCACTTTGTGCAAAGACATTTATACACGAGGTAAAGTTCTGCTCATGCCAGCAAAACCAAAGAAAATAACCTAGTACCACTATAGTTGCCTTTTTGCATTTTTGTTTAAATTTCTACAAGTGACTCCAGAACTCACACATGCCACTGATTTTTATTTTTTTTTTTTAAGAAGATCTGAGCAAAAACTAACTCATCTGCTAATAAATTGAGCTCTTGAAATACACTAACTCCAGACAATGCTATTTTTGGATTCATGCTATTCATGAATTTAGCAGTTAAGATCTGTGTCAGCTCACGTAATTCATGGCACATGCATGCCAGCATAGAGCCCTGCCTAAACAATCAGGTGGCAGTGGTTCGTGCCCTCTGCTCCTGCCCAGCTGTCCAATCAACAATACAGAAATGCACCAACAGTCAACAAACTAAACTATACCTGCCCTACTGGCAACTAACCTAGAGCTTTCGCTGCATGTGCCAAGTTCCTTTCACTGCAAGATTTGCTCTGGAGAGTGACAATGACAAATGCTTGCACCATGTTAGCAGTACTGAACACTTTTTGATCACTCATCCTTATTTCCTGATATTATTCACTGAGGATATTAATTCATAATTATTATTATTTTCTAAATAGCTACAACTGGAAAACACATTAAGCACTTCAAGGTTTACAGGCATAAAGTATATAAAACTGAAAAGATAAACGTCAATGTTAAATGGGATTCCATTGTGAATCCATGTAATTATAGACTAGTCTTTACTTAAAAGATTTGCTTCTTATGTATACATCAAACCTCATATCAAAGCCAGAAAGACCCTTACTATACAATTTCATTAGCTCCCTAATTTAATGAATTTACTATTTTCACATAAGGTTCACAATCTATAGAAATATTTGGAATGTCATATCTCTTGCCTTTAAAATTTTCTGTCATCTGGCTTTGGTGATCCTTCTGATGGTGATGTCATTATGTAATACATGTAATCTGCCTTTGTAATCTTATAATTAGGCAATAGATGCATTATACACATGTCAATGTAAAGCAGAATATTTCATAAGTGAATAGCAGTACAGATTTCATATTTATGCCTTGTATTACACCTATTCTGAAGTTTATTGAGTTAATTATGTTATTCTGGTCTAGGGACATCCAGGTCATTTCTAGACCTTGTAACTTTAAAGGCTGGTTATGTCTTCTGAGATCTTCGGAGACACCGGATTCTGAGACAATTTGGTTTAAAAGGAAAGAAACTTCATCTAAGTCACATTTTGTAAGGTCTCAGAGACCTCCTGGACTCCGATTCTGTGATTTTTCTGTTCATCATACTAGAACCGTTTTGGAAAGGACTGGCAGAACTTGAGAACAAAAGAAAAGCAGTAAGTGGTAGTAGCCCATGACTACAGGAAAAATTTGGCCTAACCGTTATACAAGCATTTCCAGATATTGGATGTTTCCTCTTTCTTATCAAATCTGCTGCACAGCTCCTCTGTGATGCTGAACAAATCTTCCTCACAACCCCAACTCTGGGTCTGTAAGATGAAGACAGCAGTACTTCCCTTTTTTTTTTTTTTTTTTTTTTTTGGTGGCAAACAATGTACTGAAGTCACTAATGGGTACACAGCTGCATGTTGGGATGAGAAGTTACTATGGGTCATGACTGCAGTTAAGCAAACAAAATATAAAAACAAACTGGGAAATAACTTTCCTTCCCCAAAAATCCATTTTGGAGTGCATTTATGGAATGCTCTACTTGGAATCACAGTTTTCACATAGCAAATTATTGAGAATTTATTTGCATTAGAAGCATTTTATATTGCAGTTACTTCACTTAAGATTTTCATGTTTCTTTCCCTTTTATCCTTCTAGACAGAAGCTTCTGATTGAAAGTTTCCAAAGGATGGAACGTTGAACATCTCCATTTGCTAAGCCACGTGCAAGCAATTTTTCTTCATCTATTGTTATTTATATAACACAGGATGGGTGAAGTTCTATCATAGTCCCTCCAGTTCTTTAAATAACTATTTCAGGCAATAGATTTACCTTCACAACACCATATATGAGAAGGATAAAACATTAGGGCCTCCAATCAGACTGATCCTTATCCCTTCTGGTTTTTACTTTCAGAGCAGAAGAGGCATTTTCAACAGCTACCTTCTATGATCAACAATTTTTGAAAGATCTTAAAGACATCTTTATGACTAATTTTTTTTTTTTCCACCCAATTTTGTTTTAGCTTTTAAACCACTATGATTTAGTGAATCATATACATCCTCTAAGCATTGTTTCTGGGCATGAAAAGTAGATTGCTTACGTGAATTTGAATCTCACAATATAAATGAACATAGATCAAGACAAAGGGAAGTACAAGTTAACTGGTACTTCTGAATATCCTCTCAAGTACACTCCTGTTGCCTAATTTTATATTGCTGCTTGTGAGCATTCTTTCTAGTTACTTCTGTGGGAGGTATAAGTAAACCTTTCTAGAAGAAGACTCAGTACCAGAGTTGAACGTTCTTTTTTCTAGTAGACATACAATCTATGTTGTCACTCAAGTCTGTAAACTCATTCCTTTGTTGAAGAGTATTTCCATTCTTATAAAAAAAACCAAACAACCATCTAATAACGTATTACTCTTTGTCGAAACAGTGGAACAGAACTGCAAAAGGATTAACTTCTGCTCTGGTCACGCAGTAGCTTTAAAATTCTGCCTTAAAAACTCCCCTAAATGCATCCTTACCATGCATTAATAACTGACTTTCCTTACATGCTATTAGAGGAGTACCCACATTTTATGTTACATTAAAATATTGCATTAATATGCCAATAAAATTCAACAATACAAAAACTAAGATCGATCTAGAGCATTTCAGGTAAAAAAGCTACCTTGAAACTATATATGAAATTACTAATTTTCTATTAATGGTGTAAAAAATCTGATCCAACAAAACACACAAATCTATGATTAAAGACATCCTAATAGTAGGTCTCAAAATTACTCCATCAACACTTGAATCTGAAAAAAAAAAAAAAATCAGATAAAGAATGAGTGCCACAAAGAAGAATTAAAAGGAAAAAGAAAAGCTTATTTGGTTTTCTTTGAACTTTGCAAATTTTTCCTTGAACTCTCATTAAAAAATGACTTGGTTTTCAACTGCAATAACCCTTCAATTTTCCAGCCACAAATGCTTTCCCAGTATTGAAAGAACCATTTACTTTCTGCTTCACCCATCCTGCAAGACTTTCTGCACAGCATTGATGGGTAGAGGACCATAACCTTACCACTCTTCAAGCATTTATAAAGATCTACTGCAACACTTTGATTGCCCGTGTTTGTCATTGTCAATGAAGAAATATACAGCTTGTCTTAGCATAAGTTAGCCTTTGTCCAGTGTAGTTTTGCAATCAATTTATATTCCATACGAAAATGACTTTTGTTACTGCTCTTTTGCTAATTTTTTTAGACATATAAAACTTGTACAGCAATTCTTTCTGCTCATTTTTATAAAAGCTCCTCTTTTCCTCAGCTAAGATTTCAATACAATGGATAGAATGGTCTTTAAGAAAAAGAAAAAAGCCCTAAACAACAACAAAAAAACCTCAAACAACCCACACAAACCTTTCTTCAGCTTCTAATAAAAAGGATACTTGCAATTAGATGCTACAGGAGGCAGATCATTGTCCCCATCACTGCAGCTACTCTGCAGAACTTACTCCCTGATGTTTGTGTTTAAGAAACAAAAGCAAGAAACAGAGATGGTGCAGATGGGCTGAGGCTAAAAAGCTGACATATATGTCACCCCACTCCTTCTTACCCAGATCCATGCTTTTTGAGGCTTTCAGATTAATTGATTCAGACTGCTTGGCTGGTGTCAAAGATCTGAAGTTGATGTGCTGATCTGTTAAATACACTGCTGAATTTATGATAGGGCTGCAGGAAGGAGGGGAAAAAAAAAAAAAAAGACATGTAAAATATTTAGGCAGCAGTTCAGAATACAAGTGAACTAATTAAAGCATGCACAATATACAAGTGTTTCTTCCTCCAGTTGACAGCAGCCTTGCATTTGAAAATCAGTTTTTGGTCCTCAACTTTCTTTTGTGAGACTTAACACCTCCAAGTCACTTATTTTTCATCACAGATGCAAATATAAATGTAAATGCCTACTGATAATTGCTCTTACACAGTATTTTATTTAGCAGAAGAGGAACATAGTAGTACCAGCAATTTTTTTTTTTTTTTTTTTTAATTTTGCTAGCCCTATTTAACCACTGCATTTCCAAATAACATGCTACAAAAAGTTGGAAAAATACTGACACAGTTCCTGGCTCAATTCTACTTCATCTGCTAATATAAAGTTATTTTACAGCCTTGCACCACTTCTGCAGAGGCTGGAGCTTGGAGGTCTCATGGAAGGTGCCACAACACTCTGAAGAATTACAAAATGTCATGGTTTGGTTTTTAATTATTTTTTTAAAAACTATTTTACTTTAAGTTAGGCAAATATCTAAACATCTGAAAACTCCACTCAATGTAACTTTCACCTGTGAGGAGTCAAAACACCTCACTGCAACACATCTGAAATCTCCCATGTCTCTTTTCAATTAGAAACGTTTTTGGGGTTTTTTTAATACTCTAAAACAAAAAACCAGTTCCAAAATTAAACAAATTTATTTCCAAACTGTTCAGTCTAAAGGTTTAGTTTTAGAGTGTCAAAACGCCTTCCCCAGTTTTTTGCTGAAATTTCATTTCAGTGAAATCAGAGAGACTTGATACAGCAATTCAATTTCAACAGAACTTAATTTCCAAATAGAAAACCAATACAAAACTGGAAAAAAGTCAGGGTGGAAGAAAGGGCCTGTAAATTAATCATCATTTTAATACATCATTGTCATTTAAGGGACTGTTTTTTCTCCCAGCTTGTCAAAAAGTTAGGAACATATTCCAGCAAACAACAGCAGTTGAGAATTTAAAGCAGAGTTCCATTAGTCTATGTGGACTTTTGTTTGTTTACTGTGACCTACATACCTGCCTGGGAGATCAGAAATTATAAAATTACTCTGGTGAAACAACTCTATGTTAGTAAAAAGAAATTAGTTACAAGACTTAATTGTATGAAGAATTCAAGGTATCCATAATAAAATATATCTACTCTTGTGCAATCAGTCATTTAAAGGATAGTTTTTATAATACCCGTGCACACAAGGACAGAAGAATGGCTGAATTTTTAGTTGAAATGCATACTTTTCTAACATCATTTCAATAAAATAATTGCATGACTATCAAAACTGTGAATACACACAAAATAAGTCATGTTCAACACTGAATTTTCAGCATTAGATGTACGATGGGTTGATATGATGCTTTGATTTGAATCCTGCGCTACTTGAGACAAAGTATATACCATCATGAACTTCAACATGTTTACACTTCTTTCTGAAATCAAAACTTCTGCCTTTACTAAGAAAATTAAAGCCTTCACAAAGGCTAATCTTAAAGTATCTGAAAGACCTGCCCAATGCATTTATAACTGGTAAAGTGTCCGTTGATTCTTCCCCTACACATTTCAATGTTCGAACTTCCTGAAGCTTCATTTTGTAACCTCGAATGTCTTTGGCTGACGTGCTGCTTAAGATTCAGTTTTCTATAAACTGAATTTGGCTAGGATTTTCAGAGCTTTAAGAGACTTCAGGCACTGCATCTATATGTAGTACCGATTGGTATAGTTTTAAATCTGCCCTTTTTTTTAAGTGGGATTACGTTTTGGGATTCTTTAACACATGATGGGAATTATGACCCTTATATTATGGATAGCAGGCATACTGCAGCTCATGCACAACTGAAATGAACAACATACTAAATGCTAAAATAACATTTACAGCTTATATTAAAGGATCATTCATAAAATTGTAAAAATGGTGGTACAAATTTTTACAACATAAAAAGTTATTTTAAAAATCAATTAGAACTACTATCACAACCACTCATGAGCAACTAGGGCGGTAACTATTAAGAACAGCCGAAGTCCAACCTGTGATTATAATCCTCATTCAGCAGATCATCACTGGGATGTGGTGGGAGAGGTGGAGGGGTTTCATTTTCACCATTGCCACAATCAGACACTGGCAACTCTGAAATATAATTTTAAAAGGGGTTAAATAAGCCATAGAAACAAGTATATTACACCAGTTCACTGATCAATGACCAGACTGGAAGGCCTCAAGCAATTCTAAAGTGAGTCACAAATTATTCAAATCCCTAAACTAACTAAACTAGAATTAAAATCACACCAACCAGAAAATATACCCCTTGGGATTTCCTGAAGACCTGATTTTCAGATTTGCATATGCATAATTACAGATAAATATAGGGAAACTTCGGGCTTATAGTGATGTTGAGTGCAAGGCACAAATGCTTTACTCCATTAGAGTGGATTTTCACTTCTACATAGCTGTAACCTGACTGTAGGCTCATGCTTTCATTGCCTTTGACGGGGAGCATTTACCACCTTTCAGGTACAGAAGAGAACATTATCAGCAAAGAGTTCAGAAGAAGGAAAATTTCCGTTATCCCATGGCAAAAGAAAGAGGCATTTCTGAATTACAGTCTTCATTTTCCTACCATCACAGTAATTCCTTCTTTACCTTTACAAAAGGCATTCAGCTCACACCAGAAAATTACTTCAGACCAAGAGAAACATGAACTACTCAATTAAACCTTTCAGTGGTCTGCTAAGCAACAACACTTGCATACCTGCAGTATTTAATGACTGCTGTGCCTGCTGTAGGCCAGTTCATTATCCTCCTGTAAATTCACCTCTCAACCTAAAGGTCTAATCTTATAAAAAGTCCCTAGATTTTTCAACATAGGACATGTCTTCACCCCTGCAAAACTTAACAAGAAACATGGACAATTAATAATTCTTGGGTTTCAATGGCAGGTAAGCAATTTAACAATACTGACATACCACACTTTCATGTGACCTGTCTTTTTGCACAATACTGTGTGAAAGCACTAATTTAACTTGAGAGAAAAACTATTCACAGGGAGGGGATCAAGTCAAATAGCAATAGGTTATATTTATTAGAAATAGTTCCCTAAAAGCAAATGAACAAACAAAATTCCAACAAACCCACACTAGGGTGGGTTGCTTAGCTCAAGAATCCTATAAAAGTCCTGTTGGCTGAAGATCAGAAAGGTAAGAAATAGTTCAAACCCTGTATATCTCAGGAAAAGTGAGAATGTCATCAGAAGAAAGTGAAGGTGTGCAGATCAGGATAAAAGTTCTAAGATGAGGAGTAAATGGCAAGCTCTCACAGTAAAAGGAATTTAGAACAAAGGGAAACTCGTACTGTTCAATGTAATTAAAGTATTTGAAAGATGAATAAGAAGATGAAAAAAATTTACTAATGTAAAAACACTCAGAACTATCAAAAACAAGCAGACTATGCAAAAAGTTTGCAGGATATTAAGTAGGAAAACACAGGTGACATTCTGTGAGTGACTGCAGAGTCACACATGGGAGTAGGGGAAAACTCTTAACACATACAAAAGGGCTACTGCTTTAGTGACTACCACTCTAGAACAATACAACAGAAGTGCGCTGGATCATTCTTTGAATATATGTTTAGTGAAGTCAAAAGGAAACTGGTATTCAGCCTTAAGAAAAGTCCAAACACTCCATCTAACACCCAGAGTTAATGATGTGCCTAGTTTTTAAGTAGCATCTAAAGTTGCATTCTTCTTATCTGAAAGAGGATGTAATATAATTCAGAAACATATTGAAAAGGTGTCAAGGGTAATTGGACACATGTATCAACGTTCCGACAAGGAAGACTGACTGGGATTCTTCGGTTTAGAATAAGCAGCAATAAAAAGTGAAACAAGAGTGCATAAGGTGAAAAAGAAACTCTCACTGTTTAAGGTGAAAAAGAAAGTCTAGTTACTGTGTCCTACACGGTAACTAGAAGGCACTCAGTGTAACTATTGAGTATTGCACCTACAACAAACACAAAGTAGTAGTTTTTCCTGTGCAATTAAATCACTGAACTCTGCCATGAGGATGTTTTGGAAATTATTTTTTTTTTAAATTAAGAAATGGACTAAAAGTTTTGAAGTATCAATAGCACAACAGACAGAAACTCTGATTTAGGAATTCTATAAACCACTGACTACCCAAAGCAGGAAACGGATGGCTGATGGAAATCGCACCATACCCTACGCTGTGCCTTACCCTCTTTGAGCAGCCTCCAATACCCATAGCTGGAAAGACCGAGCATATCATCTAGTTATAGTAACTTTGATTCATAGTAATTGATACGTCATTTCACAAAGGCTGCTTGGTGACTGGTTACCACCGGCATTCTTCTTGTACAACGGTATACACTGCAAAATGTCAGACTTCCTGAGCAAATCCAAAATGATCACAAGGGACTACAGCTCCCAGCAAAAGGAGAGCAGGAGCAAAAGGATGAGAGCATTTAATCTCAGAGGCAGTCACTGCCTCCATGTTCAAGACCTCAGGAAACTATCTTAGGTCCAGAATGATCAGAGGAACAGGTAAGTCACTAAACAAAATATACTGAATTTTCAGATATTAAACAGTTTAGGAGAATAAATGATTGAGTTTGTAAGATACATGTAACACAAGCAAAATTTAAACAATTTAAAACTCCACTACTTAATTTTCTGTCTTGACTTTATCACATGTACAAAAACAAAGATGCTTGTACAACCATGAAGACTCGGCAGTCTGTGGTAGTAGAGAGAGTTTACGATTATTCTACTATTTAACCAGAGAGATGACAGCATTTCTCCTATAGCCATATATAATGTAGGGTTATAAGAAATATATAAGAACCCCTAATGAAACACATTCCAGTAATCTTTCAACACCAGAAATGTAAAGCTGTTGGCACCAAAGTATCACTTCTCAAAGAGGTTTTCTGAAAAAACACTGAATGTGTGCAACAGCTTGGCAGAAAAAGAAGTGAGGACCTGAAGGCAGCAAGTATTATTCATGCAAAAACAGAACAAACACTGGAATTTCAATATTGGATCAGTATTTCCTCCCCCTTTATTTAAATATCCACAGGCAAGACAAAATATAATGTTTTGGCTATAACCACTTTTCCCCAGACACTGGTTTTTCTTGCTCATGTATAATAAAAAAGACTCGTAAAACAGACAGCAATATTAGCAGGCCAGGCTTCAGTGTATTTTTGCTGAGCTTTTATAAGAATTTTATTAGTAGGAGCAGTGAATGATACTGAAAATAACTTACTGGAAAACATTAATTGAGAAAGTGACATTTTATTAAAGGTAATACAGCTCCTGTCATTAAATTCTTATATTAGATCCTGTATTATTTTAAAAATCTCTTCTACCCTTCATTATTTGTAAAAAATGTTCCATTCAGACTTATACATCCAAGATCTGGATAGTACACCATAAGAATGAACAAGGGACTGCTCCTGCCTGTCACAAGAAACTCACCGTGTCTGTGACTCACATCCTTAAACAGGCACACAACTGAAAGTTCCTAACAGAGATAAACGAGGGTTGTGCATAGGTGTAGGATTTTGCCTTTACAGATGCCTTGAAGGACTGAGGACAAAACTATATAAGAAACTACAAAAAAATATTTTAATCAGTGACTGGAAAAAAGTGACAGGCTGATATGGAAGGCAAGATGAGTATTAGCTCAATAATACTTAATACTATGACTTCAAAATTAGAGAAATATTTCTACAATGGGCAGGACTACTGTAAGCCCAAAACATCTTTCACTAAGAAAATTTCAGATAGGAGCCCTACTGCAGACACCTTGCTGCTTAAAGTGCCTGTGCAGTTCTCCATTAACTTAAATTTTATTAATCAAATGCCAAATCCTCAACAAAGATGGCACAACAATGATACTTCTACTAAGTGCTAGAAACGTCTTTATCACTTGTTATCCACTGACGCCAAGTCCAAACTGCTCCCAGCAGGCCACGGCTGTGAAGACCCAGCCACGCCAAACCCTCCCTGACAACAGCCCTCAGCAGCCCTCCAGAGCATCCTTTCCACATCCCCACACACATTCTCTTCTGAGGCTATCACAGTTTTTTGCTATAGTTCCTTCTTATCATCATCATTCTTTAATTAAACAGAGGTTTATCAAAAACAGTTTTATGAATGAGTTACAAGCTAGTCATCCTGATTTTTGGATCACAGTTGGAGAATCCTTATCTGAAAGCACAGCTCTTCCGCGTATTTTGTTTTGAACTTCAAGTGACAAGTTACCTGTTGCCATTCACCTCTACCAGTGTCTTTGGAGACAAAAGAATCTGATCTTTGAATATTTACAACGCTGAGTCTATATCTAATTCTTTGCTTGGGGTCTCACTGTCAAAATATTGAAGTCAACACAAATTATTTACCCCTAAATTATACGGGAATTTCTCTTGAGCTTTACAGATACGGGCTCTTTTTTGACTACTGGAAGGTATTTAAGTATGTGCTTGGCTTGAAGGACAAGAGGACACTTAAAAGGACAGGGGTTAAGACCATGTCAAATACTTAAACTTTTCAAATAACTAGTTTCTTGCTGAGTCAGGTGCAAATTGGACAGCTAGCACAGTAGGCCATCAGAAACAAAAGACAACAGGAAAATAAGTGGTCTTAAAAGCTCTTACATGCTTGCATATGCTCATACATGTAGGTTTTCTTTGCACAATGTTCACTACTACCTCATTTTTTTTAATGAGTTCATTAATATAGTTCCAATTTGTAAATTCAGGGAATATTTCTAACCTTTGAACAGATTTTACCTTTAAGTGTAAAATAAGCAAGTGTACTTTATGAATACTATGCTTTTGTATAAATTAATTTAGCTTATAACAACCTGGGACATATTCTAAGAATTCAATGCAAAAATCATTGTACTCATTAAAGAGATATAGAAAATAAACATTTTGACAACATATATTTTGCACTCGTCATTTGTTTTTTATCCAGTCTTACGTGTTGGGGCAGCGAGCTAGAAACTGTTACTTAAACTGGAATTTGTGCCAGGAATCTAATTCACAACTTCTGAGTCAGTTCTCCCACCCTCACTGGATCCTGAAGCCTCAAAGTAACACAGTGTGCACTTGCTCTAATTAACTGCTATTCTAGTGGCTGTGGATTTCTAAAAACAAGAACACAAGGCACTTTCTTTTAGCACGCAGAAGGATATCTAGACGCTACCTTTTATTCTTTCCTGAGGACTGCACGTTACAAATGGCTGAAGAATAGTATCATTGTGTCGGGAAGCAGCTGCGAAGTTATGACTCCCGTCAAAGGCTGATTTTTTAAAGACTCCCTGGTCTGAGCGTTCCTAAGGGAAAAACAGAACCACAGATTGTAACAAAAAAATTAAATGTTCAACAATGCAGCAGATGAGCCATCACTACAGACAGTGCACAAATACAGCACAATGTAATGTGTTCACTGTACAGTGCTTCCTTTCCAATGAGAAACTTCACAGTTATCTTCAAAATTACTATCTGTTTTTGCTGACCATGAAATAAGACCTTATCTAAGTAATAACAATCATTAAGAATGATGCACAAAAATGAAGATTTGTTTTTTTATGACCCACAACTGGCTTCATTCAAATTCTCCATCTGGGAGGGCAGCTTGTGGCATTGTCAACACAAGAACACGGGCAATGCCAATGGTATTTTTCTGCCAGCCAGCTGGTTCCCTTCTCTCAGAGACTGAGTGCATATGTTCTGACGATCACACACTCGCGCAGTTTTGCCAGTAAGGAGTTACAGCAAACTCCCAAACGCAGGTCTTCTGGCTAGCAGCTAAACAAACTCCTGTCACACCTCTAGTCAGCTTTTCTTTTGAGACATTTCCCCCTCCCCATACATGTCATATCGCCTAATTTATTCTCCTGAGCAGTTGCTCAAAAGAAAAAAAGGGGAAGAAAAAAAAATAATCACAGTTTCTAAAACTGGGACAGACCCAGAAAGACGTTTCTGTACTCGTTATTCAGGGAAAACAGAAAACCCACACAGGGGAATATTATGGCTAGTTTTCAAAACAACCTTTATAGTTTCTGTGATTTTATATCTGTTTTTTGAAGGGGCTTCCAACTGGCTTCTATTTTTAATGTGCATGTTCATTATGCCAGAAAATGTTACACTACATATATCATTCCTTAAATTTCATATTCGCATCTACAAAAGAAACGCATGCCTCTAACCCACAAAATTTATTTGTAAAATGATGCAAGAAGTTTAATGCACTGGCAAGTGATTAGCTGCAAACCAACGTATAAGAAAGGACAGTGTGTTACATCACCTTGCAACCTGCCTTTCAAGCTTAATAATAATGCAATTAACATAATAATAAAATTAATAATAATAATGATAAGAAGAAGAAGAAGAATGATAAGAATGATAACAGTTTAAAATAATAAAATGTCCAAAAAATGCACCCCCAAACACAAATCAATGCTAGGATGCTCATGGTGACAACATAGCTACAAATGGAGTGTCAGCGGACAGAAAGCACATGCAACGTTCTCTCCTTCTCAGTGCAGCATGAGCCATTTGAAAAGGCTATTCTGAATCTCTGTGCAGAAACACACATACCACACAGCCACTGACAATTATGTTTCTTCTTGTTACTGGAAATTCTTTAGTTTACATAAGATCCCTCAGGTCACAAGGTCCACATTTACTACTTTCTCATGGATACTGCTGGCAAAATGAAGCCTTGCAACATCCAAACTACTACTACATTGGAGACTTGTACCCAGTGGGATAGGGAGTCTTAAATTAACAGCAACATCAAATCTGCTTTTCCAGCTCTTTGATAAATGACACAATCAATAACCCAACAACTGATCAGTAACCAGCCTAATTAGAGTATTCAGCTTCTAAAACATAGCTGTCATGGAAGACCTCCATTAGTGTCCTGACCAATAAAAACAATAATGCATTGCTAAACTTACTCTCCTTCTATCAAGCCAAGATACAGTACTCAGGAAGCTGTTTTGGGGAAAGGAAAGAATGGGCAACAACTCATTTCTGCCATGGTCTCCAGACTCAAATAGAATTACAATTGAACCTAGAGACTACCCTATAAAAATGAATTCCTGTCTAAAATGACTTTCATTCAATCAATAACTCATTATGCATTCTTCACAGGGCATGAGTCAAGATTATTTACCCCTTTCATACATCTGGACAATATACAAAACTATACACTTAACTATAAAAAGCAGTCTCATTTTTATTACATCAATCTGATGTTTGATTGGAAGTTTTTTTAAGGAATTTTGGCCTTTGTTAAATGAAGAAAACTTGCAGGAGTGAGCTTTATTTGAGGGTGAGCTACCCTTATAATGTCATAAGGGTGCAAAATAAATAACATATACTTCATAATTCTTCCTTACAGCATAACACTACGTCACATAGAAAAGGAAAGCAAAAATGTATTTTCTTCCTCTAACATATTCCAGAATGGCTAAGGAATATTTTTCACATTTTCCTGGCACAACTGACATCAGTGAGGCTTTTGCAAAGTGTCTTCCCAAAGAAGTTAGAGTATAATGTTCAGAAAGTAATATACTTCTGAATTTATTTCTCAATCAATCAGTTATAGTAGTAAACCAAATAGAAAGTTATCAGGAAAATATTAAGAGTTAATTACACTAACACACTCGCATTCTTTCACCCTCTCTGATTTTTTTATGCAAATACACTCAAAAATATGATTGTTCCTCACATTTTAAAATGTTCCAGTGATGCATATTAGATAAGTTTGAGATAATCTCTTTGAATTCTATAATGGGATTGATTTATTACAATGTTTTATACTACAAATCCACTTGTATATATTTTTATTCTAAGGAATTGTACAGATGTTTAAAAACTATTAAAATATTTACTCAAGGGTCAAAATTAAAACTGAGGTGAGTAGTAAGGGCAGCCAGTATATATACATGCATACTGTCTATGCAAAGATGAAGAAAGAGTATACATATGTGAACGCATGCATAAAAGAGAGGGAGCAAGAGAGATCATAAAACCAATCCTTTTCAAAATAAGAGCAACTGGCAAACATCAATTTATACGAGGTCTAAAAAAACATAACCATTAGAATTTATTTCTTCTCTTATCTTATTAAAGGCATAGCCTTCATCTGACCAGGGAAAATATTAATTCCTTGAAGACTAGGGGGTGGGGTTGGGGGGACAGGACAGGACCAGAAGAATACACACACATACACAAAAAAAGTGAATTAAAATACTAATGAAACTGGAAAAGCAAGACTGAAGTAAAATCCAAGTCACACTAAGACAGTAAGGTCTCTGATCATGGCAACAAATGAAATCAGAAGAATTCAAATAATCTGTATACCAGCTATTACCTTGAGGAGGTAGCAGACAGCCAAAACTACATCAACACATTAATTCAAAATTAATCCTTTTTGAGACCACATTTTATTTTATGCTAATATTGTCAAATTAAAATAAGAGGCAACTTTTTGTCTGGCCCTACAGGAACAGCAAGACCAGGAGGTATCAACCAGAAACACTGTGTGAATCCTGACTCCAGGAAGTCAAGAATTCATTCAGCCAGGAGGAACTCTCTGTGACCAAGACTTTAGCCATCACCGATTGTATGCAAACACATTGGGACTGGAAAGACTTTTATCTAATAAATGCATTTACTTCTTCACCTCTGTCTGCACCTCTAGTCGTCGGAGAACTACCAGCTGGATCCTCCCACGAATGTTCCCCTCCATGGACATGGAGCGCCTCAGTGTTTCCATAGCCTCATGATTTGATTTGCCCAGAAGTGACTCCCCATTTACTGCAACAAGCTGATCATTTACTCGTAAACGACCATCCTACAAGAAAAAAATAAAAACAAAATATAGTTTTTTAAAAAAAACAAGAATAATTAGGCAGAGGTGCTACATACATGAAAGCAAGATGCAGACAATTAGACACTGCTTGCTAAAATTTAAGGAACAAGAGACTGCATAGTACCAGATCTTTAAGAAGAAAAATCTGTGTGTGCATTAATTGACTTTTTTTTCCCTCTATTTACTATATTTTGGGAAGAGTTCATAGGGTAACTACAAACATAGACATGCACGCACACACTGCTTTTTTTCTTGCATGTACAATTTAATTTGTATTAGTTCCAAAAAGAAAACAAGAAAAGGAGCCTTTAGTTAGTTACCCACACCATAGCTGTTAGTATCCGCAGTGCAAGCATGGAGGAGTAGTGCAACATATTTTCCATGCGTTGTTATCTGCTATTAGGTTCTGGTAAGAAACAGCTCCAAAAAATCTGTCTTACAGTTTTACTAGTGTCTATCTTGTCACAATTATCATGCCACCATATGGGGTAGTGTTCTCAGTTCAGAATGGTCATTAAGACTTAAATGTCCTTATTTTAATTAATGCCATCCATGTCTAACATCCAAACCTGCTGCCAATAACAAAATTAAGGCTGAGCCACACCAAGTAGCCTATGCTTTGAAAAAAGTCATTCAGTTTCATTGCCAAGGTTAACTGACATTTGTGGGTGTAATAAAATTGTGGACACTGCTATTTTGAGATTTAGGAGTCCTACTGCTGTTGTCATTATATGTGTGATTTATTTCTTTTCATAAAAGCATGTGCCATGGACTTTTCTCTCTTTAACAAGAAAATAAGGTCTATTTAATTAAGAGACAAGACTTTCTTTTAAAGCTTGTCAAGCCCACAATTATGAGGTTGGCATCAGACCTCAAAGAAGGAAGAGAAAGAGTAAGAAACTGAAGACACCCAATACAGAAGGGCAGTGAAGAAAGAATAGCAGGGAAAGAACTTACACAGAAATACACTGCTGGGTAAAAATGAATCTGATCCATTCACAGGCTCATTACATACTCTTCATAAGGCACTTGTCTGAACTGTTTACATATTTCCTTCATCCGAGTAATCCAAAATATATATACTTTTCAATTTTTATTTATTCTATTTAAAATACATTTATATATATAAAACCCATGTTTTCTATTATGTTCAATTAACTATTCTACTATTGCTGCCAAGTCCAAGTCATTTGTGCTCAAGTGAGTTACAGTAGCTGTGACAAACTCAGCTTTCTTAACTGTTATTTTTGTTGGAATTGGGTATCATCATCACCACAGCAGAGTATGAATAGCCACAGAGCTGAAGAACAGCATATACCAGAATCCAGAATAAACTGGGAGGGACAAGAAGATGGAAAGACAGAACTGGGAGATGAGTCACCCAGTGAAGGAAAAAGGAAGAGAAAAAACTTTTCTAGGGAGCGTATGGGAATGGAGGATAGGAAACAGCAATGCTATTTGGAAAAGATACTGAAACCACTCCCACCGCTCTGCTCAATTTCATGCCAACATAAATTTACATACAGTCGAAGTCAAAAGGTTAACCCCACTGCTTCTCTATGTACAAAATGATGCCATCACACATGCTAAAGTTTAGGGAGAGAAGAGTTAACTTGAACAGGGAGTTTTATTATTTGCACATGTTGCAATTCCTTTGTGTTCTATCAAAATTTGCTGAAATGAATGGAGCCATTCACAGCCACAGGAGTTTGAGGAAAAAATAATTGAATTTTTTGTGAGTTTCTGTAAGACTCTGAAAATTTTACAGGTCCTCATGTCCTCTTGCTATGGTCCCACAGGTTCTTGGATCACTTTTTTTTCCTTTCTTTGGATACACACCCATGTATAAATATCCCTTAAAGCTTCTTACTAAAGTATATACAAATACAATGTCTTGACTACACAACTGTGCTGAACAACTTGTATTTTTAAATTAATCACTGCAGCCTCAGAAAGCAAGCTCTGAATTGGCCCAATTTTTAATTTGCCTTGTAATACTTTTGTATGAGATTTTGTATTTATTTATATTTTATTAATGTCAGTTCCTAAAAAAACTTCTTTTGATACCTCTCTCTTCTCCACACTCTGTTATACGCTCCACTTAAATGCAAAATTCAACTTGAATTCAACACTTCAACTATGACTGGAAAGAAAAAGGTGTACGTGCTTTATAAATGCTGATCAGCTACAGTTGCTAAGTCACCTGTTTAAGGTAGGCTGGAAGACAGCTGAACACTGTTTTCACACGTGCTCAGGTAGAAGATATTTCACAGAAAAACCTTTTGCTATTTTAAAGGCTTAAAAAAAAGAAAACCCAATGTCTAAACACTTTCCAAACACAGATTTTCACATCACTGGTGTTACGGCCTGGTTTAGAAGCCTGAACTGCAAGACAATCTGCTTGGCTCAAAATAAGCTAAATGTTGTTTTAACACATTTTTTCTTTCATCTCTGAAAGGTAGGTTTCTTTGTGGCTTCTGAGTAGAAAAACAACATTTGGCATTTCAGCAAAACAGTTTTCAAACGCTGTATCTGAAACTGCAAGTGAGCTAGTCTAATAAAGGGTGAAGTTACTGTTCCTTTGCTTATTCAAAAAAATCTTAACTTTCCTACAGAGACTCACAGCAAAGGGTAGAACCTACCACCACATGGGTTCCATATTCAGACAGTCAGTCACAAGACACTCATGCTTTTTACAGCACTGAAGGGAGGTATAACACCATGTTCTTCATGGACCTATGTTTTAATCAAAGCACACCTAATTTCTATTTCCTTATCACATCAATGACATTTCTTGGAAGGAATTCCTTGATGGCATTTACTGGAATCACCCTATTCTCCCATCCACTGCACACAACAAGCAATGTTTACTGCAGCAGCACTCAGAAGCCCCAAGGAGGTCCAAGGTACACCATGTTTGATTTGAACAAATGCACAGGTAGGAAATATTCCATTATTTATAATAATGGCTCTGCTGCATTTCAGCTGCAGTAGACAGCAAGTACCTGATCATCAGGACTGCATCACAAGTGAAAAGCCAAGATGTCTCGAGATGAACAAGGCTGAAATCCCTAAAGTTATGGGGAAAGATGACGCATTTAAACTCAGTCAACCGTTAGTTTTCTTCACATGAAACACTCCGCATAATTACAAATATAAAGTAATCTAGTAATCTTTTTATCTATTTTCCCCTATGTTTTTTTCGCAACTCCCTTACTGTACTTTGCAATGTCACTACCACATCAGAGCTAGATTAATGTTCTAATGTTTCAAAAAACAGTAAAAAATGATGGCCTCTCTTCAGACCTTTGGTTCAGAACAATAACGGGTAATAGTAACCAACCTAAATTGTCTGTATCTCATATATAACTCTTCATTGTAAAAAACACACTACTGAAAGAAATTCAGTGTATCAAAATTTTTATACAGCATTAGAAGGATTAAGCATTTACTTCAGCAGTGAAACAAATGTGTTGAAGTTCCATGTATTACATGCCATCTTTTGAAGACAAGTAGTGACTGCACAGACAAGGGGATAAAGCTCCCCCTTATATTAGCATATCACAAAATCTGAATAAATTTTAAACTTCTAAATGTAGAAGTGAGAAACAGTGAGAGAATTCTCAAGTCGGTGAGCATTATGATTTCCTCCTGAGATAGTTTCCCAAGAAAAAACTTTATACACTGAAAAGCAAATGCACATGTCTAAATCCATAATACTCCATTTCAGGGAGTTACAATGAATAGCATGGGAAAATGCTCTGGACAGCTACTAGCTGGAAAGAAAGGCTTTTTATTTAAAAAACTTGCCACAAGATGATATTTAAAATAAGGACAACAAGGACATCTTTAAATATTTATGCACAAATATGTACACACTTTTTAACTTGACACAATATATTTTATTAATTGTTAATACCCACTGATTATGTTTTGTTCTATATAAAGGTCATTAGACAGGAGAAAGACAGCTGTTCTCCATGCATATGCAACAGTAAACTGTGGTTCTTAAGACACTGCCAAAATGAATACTTGTATTTCTACTAGTACATTCTACAAGGACTTGTATAAAACACATTGGAAAGATTTTCTGAACAGTTCTGGTTGAAGCTAGAGTCTCAGCTCCTACCTCATTTGCTCTGGAGCCCACACTCAGGTCTATTACTACACAGTTCTAATCTGTAAAAGGGCTACAACAAGGTAGAACAGAGAGCAGGTTACAGGACCACAGGTTATCACAAGACAAAATAACCTTCCGGTCATGGTGACTAACTGTGCCAGTTGCCTGTTTACTTAGGTGTGAGCACAGAAGTCCTGCTCTATTAGTCTGCAGAATCCTCAAGCCAAAATTAACTGCTCTGGAGTGAGTAACTATGGGAGAAGGAAGCATGGTAAACACACAGAGCTAAAATGGGTTGTCTTACGTGTCTATGATGTGACAAGTCAGGTAGCCAGCCCACTAATGCTGCCGCAATATGGCTCCACAAGCTTCGCTATTCAAAACAATGAATTTATTCATGGCCACATACGCTGTTGCTGCAACTGGTGTGGACAGTTACTGAGGGAACATAGAGCTGGGAAAGCAAGGAGGGCAGCTTCATTTTCACACTAAAATGAGTTGTATGCTGTAGCAGACACATGCATAAATTGAGTTTATTCCACCCTAATTTGGCCAATTGTGCCTTAACTCATTTCTGATATACACCAAGTAGATGAGCTTACTCATCATTTAGCCCTGAGTTAACCATGGACCGTGATCTGAACTGTATGTGCCAGGCTCAGTTATACTTGAGAAGACTCAGGCTTTGAAATAACTGTGGGACTAGGACAGGTAGTAATAGAAGCAGGGAAGTATTAAACATTCATATCAAAGCTAAATCTTTGATTAGTGCTATTTCCCAGCTGCTGTAAATAGTTGATCATGAAAGTTTTAATGCTGTGAATATTCTTCACAGGCAGGCTGATGTCAGTAGCAGAATTTAAATACATTGAATTAAAAGGCACCCTTACATAATACACACCCTTAGCCCACACACCTTAGCCTTCTACGCTTCCCCATTTCCTGCAACATCCAAATACCCACCAAAGGCTTCCACTAATCCACTTTTCTTATGGTAAACCCTACCACACACAACACCAGAATCCCTGGGCAAAACATTAGTAGATTTGCAGTTCACATAAAGGAATGAGTGACAAGAAGATATTCGTTCCTAGATTGGTTATCAAGTGAGATTCAGTACTCAGCACAGAAATGTCAGAATTCTAACGCAGTCATCGTCTGATGTTTCTCCCATACCTTAAAAGCAGCACCTCCATGAATAACAGATTTGATGAAAATCCCAAGATCAGCTCCAGTCTCCCGAGATTTGTTGCCTTTTAAGCTCACACCAAGTCCAGCAGAGCCAGAATCATTCAGAGGAATCTCAAAGGTCAGCTGCTCTGTGGCATCTGGAGATAGAATACTGCAGTTTGGCTCTCCTTTCTGTTGATAAAAACAAGGATGAAAATATGGGTGAAAAGGGGGCAGAGACAATGCACAAACTAGTTGTATCGACAGGTTCATATGACAAGAAATAGTCCTCTTTTCCAGGAAGTAGCTTGAAGAAGCAGCCTTATAATCAACAATGCATTTAGCTGACATTTTGTCACATGATCTTGCTTAAAATGTTATTTTTAACGACACCTAGGAATATTAAGAAGGTAAAATAGCTTAGTTCCACATGATATAAAACTGATGCTGCAGCAGAATATAAAAAAGACATTTATTTTAAACACAGCTGCATTAAAAATGTAAGCCATAAAACTCTCAACATCTTTACATGCAGCTCAAAAACTATAATGATAGCTGTACTGTTAAATCTCATTCTCCTCTGAAAATTGAGTTTCATCCTTAAAAAATTATCCTTCCCTTAAACCTGTCTACAGAGGGAAGCTGGTGTAACAAAAGCAAGGGTGAGAATTGAAAACACAGTAACTTATTCTGCACTAACTCCCTTTGCACATACTTTTATCCATAGAGGTTTGGGGTTTTTTCCCTTCTGGTATAGGTTGATCACAAGATTTTTCTTAGATTAGATTGCTGTTTATAAGACTGCTAAGTCAAGTACCAATAGCTAGGGGAGATCAGGAAGAACTTTATTTTAGGGTATACTGTATCTGCAGTTCTGTAGGGTTGTATGTTATTGGGGGGGGGGGGATATTTTGGTTGGTTGGTTTGTTTTAAAAGCAAGTTAGAATAATGAAATTAAACAAAATCAAATTCTTGCCTGAAATATTCATACTGGCACTCTACAGAAATAAAACAAGGACATCTACCACAGAGTAAAGTGTTCATAGAAGGTATTAGTGGAAAAGACCTTATGCCTCACATCTGATTTTATTCCACTCTTCCTTCTCCATATAACTCTACAACAATTAATTAATGTTTCTTGTCATTTGGACATTTTCTATTTTTTGTAACAGTAATGTTAAAAAAATAATAGGAAAAAAACCTACAAAAAGTGAACATACAGACAAGCACAAGTTGAGTAAGATGACTGGGAGCTGCTTTCAAGGGTGTCAAAGTCTTACGTTAAATTATCAAGTAGAGGCCACAAGCAAGGAGGAGTGTAGTAGCTGGGCCAATCCATTTTTACCTAATGATGGATCGTTTCCAGGGCCTAAGCTACAGCACCTACAGTATCAATGTAATGGTCAGCAAAGGTGGCTGCAGTACAGATGTTTTCTCAGCAGCCAGAGTAGTCTCACATATTCATCTATTGTTCTGATCAACAAGAAGTATGATCACTGAACTAAGAGCAGAAATTAATAACCTGAGGCAACAAAAAATTAGAAACAGTAACCACCAAATACACTTTCATTTATTTTAGATGCCCTTTCACTGAGGAGAAGCAGCTACTAGCTAGAGAGGAATCGCATGAGCCAGAGAACTAGGACTGTAAACTTCAACCCCAATATTCATCATTATGAAACTCTTCCTGGAATGTAACTACATGATATTAAGTCAACACAATTTGCCTAACTGCCAAATGTAAAAATGACATAGCACCAACACTGACAATTGTCTCAGTGCCAGCACTCATCACCAGTACCTGTGTTACTCATTTGTGCTTTTGTCTTTGTTCACCAGAAGTAGACGATTCTCAGTTACAAATCTGTCACTTTCCTTAGCTGTGGATATAGAGACATCCTGAATGTAATCCCCCAAAAACCTACAAATTCATACCTGCTACTATGAACAATACATAATGATAGATGGTAGAATGATAGATGCTCTTACTTCCTTCAATAGAATCAGTGTAAGGAAGAAAATTTCATCATTACTGGCCTTCTAACGTAAGCATTTTACATTTAACTTTCTCAAGTTTTTAGAGAAAAGATCTTCTGCCCAATCTTTTGTTTTTCAAAATTTACATCAAACAATTCAGGACTCTTAAATCAAAACTATACTCAAATCATAGAATGGTACATTCTGTCCAGATTTGGACGAAATAAATTTTTCCCAAGGTCACAGACATATGATGTCTCCTGCAGCCCTTCAGGACAGTATTTTGTATTATTTTCTTGGTCCCCTATGCAAGCAGTTCCTATGTACTGCTGCTGTTCTTCCACTTTAATCCATAACACCTGCACCAGACTCCTGCCCTTCTGCATGTCAATCATGTGGTTTTGTCTTTCCCAATACCACAAAAAAAGCAGTGAGGGGCATTGTTATCACAGGACAGAAAAGCTCACAGTGTCCATGCCTACCTTCACCTCAGCAGTCACAAATTGCTTTATAATTTTACATCAGTAGGAACTTGGACTTCATATAAAACTGAATTTGATCATATTCAGATCAATTTTTAATGAGGATGTCTGAAGGTAAGGTCTGGCACAAAGGCTATTATTCTGCAAAAAAAAACTTACAAGGAAAAGGTGGTACATTATATTTGTCAAGAAAACAATATGTATTTTTTAGTTAGTTTCCTTCTCAGGAGCATCTTACCTGTTTCACTTGAAGCTCCATGAAGTATATTAATTTCAGGCTAAGGAGTTCATGTATTTGTTAACAAACTTGTAAAAACCTAAAGACAACACAATCTATACATGTTCCTCAAGCCAATATATGAAAATAAACCACGCTTAAGTCTGCTTGAATTTGAGTCAAGCGCTCTAATCAATAGCATTCTCAATTTGTACTATCCCTCTTGTTGCCGACCCACCAGTGACGATGATGACAAGGCTGCAGCCCCCATGGCTGTGCTGAAGGCCTCAGCAGTGTTGGGAGCAGTGGTGGCTGTAGGAGGCAGGACGCCATCCCCGTCTCTGCAGCACCAGCACAGGCTCCGTAGCAGCACTGTGCTCTGCTCTAGGCTTCAAGAAACAAGCTGGATGGATTCTAGAGGCCACAAATCTTGTTTAACCTTGGGGCGTGAAGACTAAAAGGGGACATAATAATAGTCTTTGAAACACTTAGAAGTAACATTTTTCCCCTTTTTCTTTGCAGGAGATTTTTTTATATCAGAAATATCTCACTTAAATAGCAGGCAAAGAAATGGTAAGTCTTGAAGGAAACCTTTGCCCTCAGGATCTGGGGAATAAAGATTGACTAGGTGGTCACTGGAACTCTCCTACTATAAACGTACTAAGATAATGATATTACACATGGTTTTTTAGTATAACTTAGTCCAATTTTAGATTCTGATATAAATACATTGCTAAAAGCATAGTAATTAAAAAAGTAAAAGAGCTGTTCAATATTCTATAATACTTCCCAACTTCCTTTAACATAAGTAGGCCATGCATTAGCTCTCAGTAAGTAACCTATCAGATCACTCTCCACATGCCTGGATGCATTCTCTATCAAATATTAAGATGTCTTCAGCAAGACACCAGACAAGCACAGCAGATTTTTGTCAGCATTTTGTTTCCTCTGCTTTCCTTAGAAAGATCAAGTAAACTCTGCCTTTATTCCCTTAAAATTTTAATTTGCTACTCATTGTATGGCATCTGATGGCAAATGCAAGTCTGTAACAACATGACTCTTCGGTGCAAATACAAGACTGAAAACTTTCCTTTGTGGGAGAATGTGAGAAGCAGTAGAAAGGCGGAAAAACAGAGGGGAAAAAGAAAGGGATAAACAGAACCTAGAGGCTTGACTTCATCCTATACTGTCTAAACTGATTTCAAATTATTATCCTGATGATAGTGCTCTTCCCAAATAATGCCTTTGCACTGATAACCAAAAAGAGCTCCAGTCATCCTTACCTTAACAGCTCATCAATTAACTGCTTCATTTGGGCAACTAATTTAATGAGTGATGGTCACTGCTCCTAGAATACACAGGTATGAATATTAAATGCTAATAGTTACTCACAGAGCTGAATTCCCATGCCTCTATTTCCCTAACTCTGCTAAAATATTATCCCAAGACATCAATACTTTCCAACAGAGCACCCACCATCAGTTGAATTATGGTATGGTAAAGGAAGTCCTTTCCAATGAAGTAAACCTTGAATTCTCTTAGAAATACTTCTTGCCTCAAGATCATCCTAGAATCTGAATGTATTCAAACACAGAATGAATGAAATGAGCTGCAACACAAATATGTTTCTAGCTCAAGAAAAACTTACAGTTTAACATTATAAATCACCCAGTCAACATTCACGTCGTGTATTTTCCATGACAAACCTATCACACCTCAGCACTTCAGGAATTACATGACAGTATATCACTGAAGTTGTTCCATACTGCAGACACAGGTAAGTAACTCAAAGATACTACAATAAACGAGGAATCTTCACATAAATCAAAGTCCAGATTGCAAGTGATGGAGCCTCCAGATGACTAGAGCTTTGAGATCGCCTGGCCTGTGCTTTTCCTTTAAGATGTGTGCACTGAAGACAGCAAAAGCAATTTTAAACTCTTACGTATTAATAAAATATACTTAACAGCAAAGCAGGTTAAAGTAAAAACAACACAAAACACCACCAAAAAACCCCAACCAAACAAAAAACCCACAACCAATGCAAAAACCCCATACCAAACACATCCAAAAGAGAACTTGAAAAATCAGTCTCCACTGCTCACTTGGTCCATGTTGAACAGACCCTTCCTTCGGCTTTGCTAAATCTTAGCTTATCAACTTTCAATAGTTTCTTCAGCTGGAACAAGCTCTAAACAGTCCCTGCGCATCTCTCTTCCCAGTCCCCTCTGCAGCCTGGTGATGTTTGTTCCCTGCTGTTTACAGGAGTCTGCCAGATTCAGCTCCTGCTCCAAAGTTCCATCCTAACTGGTTGCACCACCCTGCACTAGATAGTTTCTGAGCTTTCTCAGCTGCTTGGGGAAGACAATGACCTCCCCTCTTTCCCCAGGCAGTTTCTCCTGGATCAGAATGCAGCAGTCAGAAGTCTAGGAGGTGATCTTCCTGCTTGTTGTCCAGACTCAGCCACTAAACAGAATGGAGCAAACAACCGAACAGGTACAATCCCTCAGGAGGGA